CGCAGTTTGTAAACCTTGAATTCGAGTGTAGCAGTCAGTAGGTTTCAAAATTGTTCGGCAATTCAGAAACTTTTCAAAACCGAAGGATACTCTCTCTTTAAGTACAAAATTTAAAGAATACGTAATTTTTACCAAATGAGTAGAAGAAATATTTGTTTGCGTGCACGTTTTCCATAAAATATAGTTGAATTTATACAGGCAGTCAAAATCAATGATATAAACGCATACTATTCAAGTAGTTACTTTTTAGAGTACACGCGTTTTGTTTGTGGTCAGAACGAAGCTCTTTAAAAAGCTAGTATCCTATCATGACTAAAATGAGTTGATAAAAGACTACACCATAATTAGTATGGCAACCTTACTCGAGGCCAACAAGCGAAAGAGTATAAATCTTTCGCATATATCAGCATGTTGCACGAATTCTGGCGAGTACTGTACCTGACAGATCAATTTTGGAGCAAGATAACAACAAAAGACTATGATGTAATATATGTAGCTATCTTGCTGTCTCTGAGTAACGATATCATCCTCTTGTAGCTAAATTACTTATTGAGGACAATATTCATGGAGCTTCACGAAGACGAACATACATATGTGACTGGTTTCCTTATCAGTGTTCGAAAGTAGTGATGCTGCCGGACACTATTTAATTATGCTGCTTTTTATGAAGTTCAGAGTCGCCTGCTAGGCGATATGCCATCAACTGGCCTGTAAGTAGAACACGCTTGATTTAGGCGGACTGGTAGCTGAAAATTCAGTAAATGCAAACTAGCAGGCACTAGTGATCCAAACAAGGCTAACGCACCTAAGTCAAATCTTTACTATGTTAGTGACTATCAACTTCACACTTCGATCACAGATCACGTATTTTCTGCTACTAACAGTCAGTCCCCCACTATGCTAATTCCTCCTTCAGGAAGATTTCCGAGAAATGTTCGCCTGGCTACTATTCTTCGCTGCCTCCTTCTTCGCTGTGGCAACAGCCCAAAAGCATCCTGATTTTCCTCAATGGAACACGATCAATTGGGTTGTACCAAACATAGGTGACAACATCATATTGCAATGCTATGATCCAAGCTTCTACCCCTTCAACAACATGGACAGCATTTTAAAAGTAACATGGATCACGCCGCAGTCCTCCGCATACCTCCACTTGAAACCAGGTGAAACTAAGGAAGGTTGGAGTGTAAATGAGAAGACAGAAAACTATTCACTCGTCATCAACAAGGAGAACATGAACGTCCCCGACAGCGTCGTCGGGATGTATGTGTGCGCAGCTCTTGCAAAACTTCCCGATAATGATACCCTATACGCTTGGTATTATTTGCGTTGGGGACTGGGGCTCTACAGCCACGTACCTGCCATGAATCCCGGCGGCATCGAACGGTAAGTTCGTGTTTTTCCCTTGTTCAGGCTTTTGTTCTTCTCTCCGCGTCTTAGTTTTCTGCCAGCCAGTCAAATAAACGCCCCTGTGGTATATAATCCGCAATTATATTTACGGCTGCGAGCTAACGACAAAATATTTTAGAGGATTATCGCTGAATCTAGTCAAAAATGCCGTGGACTGATGTCAGTCCTTGGTTTTGTATGATTGTTTAACACCTCCACCCGAAAAAGGAATTCCAGAACATTTAGACGGTCTCTAGTAAAATTACTGGAGTAGACCCATATAAGAAATATTGTCTTGGAAAATATTATCCCTTAGAGAAATAGTCTGTACTTTGAATAAAGTACCTAAGTTGGACGAAGTTTTGACATGCAGGAGAGTCACATTTTGGATATAGTTTAGCACACTGACAGCACAGATACCAGGTAAAAGCCGAGAAGCTTGACAAATTTTCGAGAGACTCCGCTGAAACTCACGTTTATAACATCAAGCCACCATCTAACACGAAAAACAGGGCCAAGCTGACTTTTGAAAGGCTTTGCAATCAGACATAGCCAGTGTAATTCCTGTAGACTTTGCATGCATGTATATAATAGCATTTGCGTCCAAGGGCCCATTTTTTACACTAAGACAATACCTGAGAAAGAGTGATAACGACCTCGGTTCTTTTCAGGGGTGTGGCTTCATTTTCGTGAACTTGCGATTTTGATATTTCTTCATTTCCTTTGGTGGGACAAGGACTGACATTTTTATGTCTTGATAGAAAGGATTCTTTGCGAAACAGGAATAAACTCTATTGTATATTTTCGACGCCGGCACACCAGATCTTCTTCAGACATGAGGGAAATGTGTGAAGAGCAGTGCGCATTTCTAAACGTGCCAACAATCGATAGTGCTGCGTCATCCATTGTCAATAACATTTTTGGTGGTTGGCGCTTTTTCCAGGCTTTATTGAGACTGGTATACATTTAATCCAAATCAACGTGCCTGTTGATGCATGATTCGTCAGAATTAATGGCCATGGATTATGCGGCATTATCGATTTTTTGGCACGTTTGAAAATGCGCACTGCCCTTCACACATTTCCCTCACGTCCGAAGACAACCTGGTGTGCCAGCGTCGAAAATTTACAATAAAGTTTGTTCCTGTTTCCCAAAGAGTCTTTTCTATCAAATTATATTTCTTGGGATGCCTATTTTCAAATTCATACGAATGAATTGTTATGCCTGTCAGGTTATTTACTTCAGCGAAGATACACGATGCGAAGATTGACTTCTAGTCGAGAAGAAGCAGATGCGATCGCTGGGACAAGAATTTTATTCACCT